CGGCCCCGGGGGCGAGATGGGGTAGAGGGTGGGAGCAGAAGCTCCCCCCCCACACCACAGCACCGAGGAGTTCGCGTCACTTGCAAATCAAAACAAAAGGCGGAAATGTTTGGGAGCAGGTCGGGATGGCGTACAGCCATGCGGGAAAGGCATCCGAGCATGCCATTTGGCCGGAGAGCCGTTTCCTGCGTGCACACACACACACACACACAACTCGAGAAGGGGGTAAAGATAGCTCCTGCACGAGAGGAGGGAGACCGGGAGAGACCCCCCTCCCCACCACCACATCACCTCCCACACCGGTTCGCCCCTACCCCCCTCCTCCCGACGCGTATAAAGAAGAGGGGGGTGCGGAGTGGCTCGATCATTCGGCGCGTGCGTTTAAATCGCACAGCGTGCACACCGGAGGGGTGCCATCACCAACTCCAACCTGAGCCACCACTAAAGCTGCCAACGCGAGCCCGCTTCGCCGTGTCCACCAAGCGTCACGCAGGGAGCTCTCTTTTTTTTAAAAAGGTGTGTCCTGTTTAACGGTGGAGATTGTCCGTAACTTTGATCCCCCCCCCCCCCCCCCACCACCAAACTTTCACCTGTCTTGACTTGTATATGTCGGAGTGCTACGTGTCTACTATATATATATGAAAACATGCATGCGTATCTAAAAATAAATCGGTGCTCGCGTTCATTGGAAAACCCCAGAGAGCAGTGGTGAACAATTCCACGTTGCTATGGCGGGGATCAGTGTAGCCCATCGAGGGAACCGCTTTTGTCGACTTCCCACAAAATTATTCAAAGTTTATCTAACGGAAACTTAGTTCATTTACGTAACAAGGAACGCAGGGATTTTACTGCAGCTGTGCAATTGACGCTGCGGAAATAATTTTGCGCGACGAGTTATCCGAAAGCTAGTTTGGTAGTCGCCTTGTGTTAAATCGCAACATTCTTATCACCATATTGTTTTAAATAATTTAACCATTTATCAACATGCGGTGTAATGGGTTGACGATGTTGGGCCGAGCTGAACCTCGACCGGGATGTGAACTTGAACCTTTCGATTGCGAGACAAAATGTGCCGACCATCGCTCCAACATGTTGGATTCATTTTGTTTTATGAAAGTATTTTCCAGCCAGGCGGTTCATCATCCCTTCAGCGTCAATAAAACCGAGTATCGTATTTTTGTAGGGAAGGCAACGGTGATAGTCACCCTTGCAGATTAATCACCCCTGCCCATAGGAATGTGGAACGTATGCCACCTAACCAAGACTTCAAACACAGGAGATAAGCACAGCCTTGATGCTCATGAGTGGGAAATCAGTTGACCTTTTTTATGTATACGGAGTCCTGTGTCAATCCACTGCTGGATGAAGGCCTCCCCACAAATGTCGGTCGGCACGGTTGGCGACGTAGGGTGCGAAATAAGTTTACCGTACATACAAGTCCGCATTGTTTTGCCAGTTTGTACATATTACATAAATAATTGTGTCATTGCATTAAGTTAGTCATTCCGTTGTCACGCATGGCGCAAACTCACTGGGGAGAATTATATCGTAGTGATTGTACACATCGTATATTCTTCATCCCCAGTCATTCTATTCTTACTTTGTAGACACACGGCCAGTCTTAAAATAAACACCGAGCGTGACTGTGCTAAATTCAGGAAATTGTCGCTCCAGATATTCTTCCAATGCACAAGCCAGTTCACCACAGTTAAGTAGTCCACATCCTCGGTCACTTGACTCGCTGACCATCCCAGCACAATCCATCTTGACACAAACGCGATCCACAATCACTGCTCTAAATTCTAAGCCATTTACACTACGAGATCTCTTTTACCAGTGGCAAAAAATAGTAGTAGGTTTTTACCCTTTTAAACTGGTAAAGGTGTCAGTTTTGTACCAGTTTAAAAGGGTAAAACCCTACTACTATTCTAAGCCATTGTCATGCCCCCTCCACCCCACCTCGACCGGCTTAGCAAAGCCGTTTGAGTTTAGCAACGTAGAACGTCTTTCGCACCGTACGTTGCCAAACCGTGCTAATCGGGGGGGGGGGGTGCGGGGCAATAACAAACTAAACGCAACAAGCAGTTCCAAAGAAACGAGTTTCCAAGCGAGATGTAAAAGTGCATAGCTGCAGTGGCGTCCTAAAGCTTGGGCATGACCCTTCTTGGTTCTTTCGGTAAAGTCACGTAGAAGGGAAATAATACAAATATAACATAATTAAACATTTTATTTTATTTTTATATAAAATAAAAAATATTTTATTTTTTATTTTATTATGTTTCATTTTTATTATTTTACCATTTCCCTTCTACGTGACTTTACCGAAAGAACAAAAAAGATGAATCCCTGCAGTCACGAAAGCTTTAAATCGAAATTTCGGCATGACATGAGGATTTGCATTCGTTCGGCGCTTTGCGTACAACACGCGGCAACTTCAAAAGCGTTGCAGTAAACACAACCACGAAAATACACAAACGTGACCCGCTGTCACGGAGCGCCACTCGCACATGACATGCAAGACGCATTGCGCACTCTACACCTCACACGGCATGGCCGTTTGTGAAGAACTGTAAATAACAACGTTCGCGTGACGTATGCTTCCAGGAAAAGCACTGAGATGTTTAGACAGTTACGTTTCATAAAGAGGTGCTTTTATTTTCTCTCAAGGCGCAGCAAACATTGTTTCTCGTATTTTTTTAAAGCGATGATTCTCGCTTTTTTGTATTTTTTTCTGAAATGTATGCATTTGCAGCTGCGTCATTAACTCCATTGCTGGAGGATTGTTCTTCAGGTGTTTGTACCTGTTGCCATCAAGATGGTGTTGTTTTCAGGCTTTGGACACCACATTTTCTCATCTAAACGGGGAGGTCTTTCGACAAAACATTGACAAGTTCGGTTTCTGATTGGGTCCTTAGATGATTGATATACGGACCGGTCTCCGATGGAACCTCTTGAAAAAATGTGACGAGCACTGGTCCTTCTAGACACAATGTATCATGAACGCGGAGTGCACTGCATATCGCACCATTGAAAAGGAGGACTCTGTGGTTTTGCTTTGAATGCCACGTGTAATCACGGGAGGTCACACCATCCAGTGGCCTCACACCACCTTGCACCCAGTGCAAGGCCTTGCTTGACATTTGCTGAAATGCTTTGAACGGTTTACGAGTGAGGCGATGGAGACTGGGGGAGGAACGAGACAGAACAGAAAAACAGTGACCGCAAGAGCTAAAAATACAATGATGCATTTGGCAAGGCACGGCCATTACCACGAGGCTCAGCAATTAGATGACAGTTCAGGTGTTGGGTTTCCTGTACTGCCGTGAAGGGCAGTTTGTATAAAGGTCTGGGGGAAATCTTAAGGTCCTGGGGCTACAACGCTTCGACCCAGATCGTTCTGAAACCAAAACCAAAAAAGGTCAGCTTTATTAGCAATATTAATAATAATCTCAAATTGTAAAAAAAGGCACCGCAACACAGTATTTGCTCGCTCTCGAAGAGAGAGAATTAATTTGGGACGCATGCGAAACTTCAGAGCCACTTGCAATTCATATTCCTCCGTCTCCCCCCCCCCCCTCTGTGAATCATCCGAGCCTCTGCCTCCCCACGTCTAATCATTAAGGGTGTGACTCAGCGAAGGCTTAATGGGAACCAGTGGCGCGTGCAGACGCGGAGGGCGCGCGCGCGCCGCCGCCGCCGCCGCCTCCTGTAACGGATCCATTGTCAACAGCAAAACTGGCGCGTGATTGATGCCTGGACGAGAGTCATTTGTGTGGCCCTATTGTTGTTACAGAGAGGGTCACCCCAGCTGCCCCAAAAATAATTCGCTCTACCCAGGACTTGTCCAACGCGTGTGTGGAGAGGGGGAGCCTGTGACGTAGTGGTTAGCGCTACATGCTGCACTACGAACACGGCGAGCCGAGTTTGGCCAACACCAGTGGCGATGATCTCAACCGATACTGGGCCTCAGCGAAGTTGACTCGGCCTCAAATTGAGTACCTGGTGCAATGTGTAAACATCGCCGCTCGGGAGACTAAGATGGGCACGTGTGCCGTGCCGGCCTGCGTTAGGCGCTCGCTAGCAGCACTTGCCCCTACTGTCTGTTAAGGCTATACGGAGGGGGGAGGGGGGAATTTTGTATTTTTTGTGTGCTGGCTAATACCTTTCACCTATATATAAAAATCAATTACCCATAAAAAGCCAAGCTGACGTTTTAAGACTATTTGTTCATGAGGGTGCTGTATGGGGATATTTGGCTAGTCCAGGGGTCGGTAACCTACGGCTCCGGAGCCGCATGCGGCTATTTACGGGCTGCTTCTTGACGATATGTACAGTATGTACTCAGATGCATTGCGGCTCTTGAAATACTGAATTTTGTACCGAATTGGAAAGAAATGGCTCTTCTTGTTATTTTGGTTGCCGACCCCTGGGCTAGTCCCATGAATGATCGGTTGGCCTCATGTGCAAGAAGACCGGAGAACCCAGTGAAAGTCCAGAACAGCCATATCCTGGCCACCTCGCAGGCCCATTTCGCTTGAGATTTGCTGGGCTTTAGAACACAATGCAAGGCATTTTGCACAAGCAATCTTTCGCGTAAATGGCATAAGTCTAGCATGCGTCTAGCAAGCAAAAAGTGTAGGTTTTTTTGTAAATTAAACAAAGGTGCTTTGGTGCCCACGAGGGCAACATCGCCATTACGAAACGGCAACATATTAAACAATGATAGTCTGGTTATTATTTCCATTGGTCGAAATGGAAACGTAGTAGTGAGGGTACGAAAATTATTCAAAAATCAACCTCAAAGCCCACGTTCACCGCCGCACGCCGCTCTGCGAAAACGTCAAGGTACAGGGGAGCGAGTCCTGCGAAAAGTGCCAGCACACACGGTTTCGTTTCACTCCGAGCAGTGGCGTCATGTGGCACAGCGTCGTACAAATACCCCGCTACGTTTCGACCGCTAAACATTCATCTTCGCTTTGCAATTTGTCCGCTCGTGGCAGGAGCAGAGGAGTGGCGCCTGCGCTACCGTCGACGGCTGCGCGTGCATGGCCACACGGTCCGGACGAGGCGACCTCTGCCAGGCGCAACACACCTGAGCCCCCCCCCCACCCGAGCCCCCACAGAACGCGTCTTTCCCACCCACCTTCCCCCGCCACGTCCCGCTCACGCGCCTGCCACCGCCGCAGTCGGAGGGGGGCGGCCAGAGAAACAAATACGGCCCGCGCAAGTAAAATGGAAGAGCTCGTCATTTAGGCGCTCGCCGCTCTTCATCGCCGTCGACAACCTCGAGCGCAGATCGCTCGCCTTCAATGTATCGGCAACTCGAGCGAACGGGCAAAGCCGGCGGGAACGAGCGCCGCTTTGTTTGCCCGGGCGACCGGAGAATGGTTGCAAAGTGACGGGCCCCGACACCCTGCGCTTCTTCGTGGACGAAACGGAAAGGGCGCCGTTCCGTACTTTCGCGGCGCTGCGGGTGAATTCGGCTCGGAGGTGCGGAGGTGCGCCAGGAGAAGGGGAGGGTGGTTGCGCAATGTGAGCACGGCCAGGATCGCCGGCTACGTCGAAGCGAAGCAGCTGCTCTTTGGAGGCTACGGGTGGGGGTGGAGGTGTGGGGGCAAAGGAAAGTTCAAATCAAGCCGAGACCGATCGAGACACCACGCCGATTACGTAAATGTGAACTTGAAAATGTTGTGGGCACTGAAAGTTACGTCTTGAAGTCTACGCGAACAGGTTTCTGAAGTTGCAATTTCAATCGGAGTGAAAGCACATATATTCATTACGAAGATACCATACACTGAGTTTATAAAATATCATTTGATTTTTTGACATAATAATAAAAAGAAGAAGACAATGGCAAGAATGAATAGACCAGCACCGGTGGAGGTCACGTACAGGGAGATGAGGTTTCTCATTACCCACAACCCCAACAATACCACGCTCAACAAGTTCATAGAGGTGAGCATGCCAGACCATAACAACAACAACCGCCATTCGCCACTAAGTGGCGGTGACGTAACCACGACGCTTGTGCCAGGCCATGTGCACCTCGAGGCCACGTGAAGTGTCGAACGCCCGCTGGCAGGATATAATAATATAAACACGCACACACACATGCCCTTACCCAGGACAGCACCACAGAGCCTCCATACTATTTTCTAATGGAGAGTTCTGCGCATGGGACGTTTTGTCCATTGCCCTTAACAGACCGTGCTGCAAGGAGGCAACCAGAGTAGCTGCAGAAAACCGAAGCTGATAAATAAAAAAGGGGATAAAACCCCAAAGACCCACACAGATGGGTCAACAAACCCATTTTCGCTCTAGCACCATCACCGGGCCGCCTTGTAACCCCACGGCGAGTCCACGGCAATCCGTGGTGTCCACAGACCTTGCCGCCTTAAACACTGGATTACAGGAGAGCGGGAAACTGGGTAATGTATGTGAATTACCAGTCGCGTAATGGATTTTCTCTCCAGCCAAACCCCCTCCACCTTGCATCACTCGGAGAATTGTAAAAGTTCAGGGTCACGAATCATTTCGAGAATATTATAATTTGTTCCATCTCATTTTGTAAAGACACACTCCACGGGCCCAACAGGTGACACGAGCATACAATCCGCAAACAGCTCATTTGCGCGAATTAGAAACCGTATTATATTATTATATAATTTCATTTTATTTAATTATTTTATTATATTATTTTATTATGTTTTATTTTTATTACTTTATTATTTCCCTTCTACGTGACTTTACCGAAAGAACCAAGAAGATGAATCCCTGCAGTCACGAAAGCTTTAAATCGAAATTTAGAAACCGTCAAGCTCGGTCACGCACAAACTGTTGCACGTAGTTACGGCGTAAGAATCGTTTAAGATTTCGCTCAAACCAACATCATCGTGTTTTCGTGCGACTCCTGTGCAGGAGCTGAAGCAGTACAGCGTGACGACCGTGGTACGCGTCTGTGAAGTGACGTACGACAAGAGTCCGCTGGAACGGGAAGGCATAAGCGTCATAGTAAGTCGAGCCAAGACCACAAACACTCATCGTGACACTCGCCATAACCACACCTATCGAAGAAGGCCGGGCACAGTGCAGAGGGGGGATGGGTGGCCAACACCACGCCCGGGCTTGCCTTTGTCTCCACAGTGCTGCTGTTAAACACATCGCACCAGTTACTCGTTTTTTTATTAAATACTTTATAATAAGTTCACTTGCTTGCGCGCTTACGACCGTGCAAATCTTTCGGTCGTTTTTTAACCCACTTCCCGTGATCCAATCGAGCTGACATTTTGCACACAGACTCGTTGTGCGTGACAATTTATTTTCGTGAAAAAAAATTCCTAAATTTTACACTGTTTAGGGAAAAATGTTTAAATATTTAATTACCAATTGCTTAATGCTGGCAGACAATCATCTGACCCATAGGTGGCAGCCATATCAAGCCAGAGGACGAGAGGACTCTAGCCGCCACGCATATAAAGGATTTATAGTGAAAAACTTTGTTTTTACGGGTTAATTTTTTGATGGTCGAGTCGACCCCCAGGCAGGCTCAGGACTAATTCAGATGTGACTCACTGCCGGGTTTGTCGCGCAGTGTGCCAACAACCACTTACTCTACCGCTTCCCACCAAGAGACACTCACCGCGAGACACTCACCGCGAGACACTCACCGCACACGGTCCCCCCTTTCCTGCACCAAAAGAACCGATTTCGCCGAAATTATCTCCAAGTAAAACCCACCTTAAATTATTATTTTAAAAAATCAGTGTGGTTTTCCCGGGTACACAAATACATTCCTAAAGTAAATTGGACGTGAATATGAGCAGGTGGATTAAGGTGCCAATTCGCTGTGAGAGCGCAAAGCCAACATTGCCGAGCCTCTGCGTTCAAATCTGCGTTCCAGCCACCCACTACTAAACCGGGTTCTTAATTGTAGCAAGATGGGTCTGAAACCTGGTCTCCAACGGCTGCGTAAAAAAAACTCATCGGTTTATATTTCGATCCTTGCTTATTCCTGCTCTGAGGATTTACACGTCAGCGTGGCTGTTAGGCACACGAGGTGGCCCACCAACCCGTGTGGATGAGGCACTTTCGAAGGGAGACTACACACGTAGTCCTGCTCACCTTGAGAATGCCGATTACCACAACTGGAATAGAAATGGGGAGAAAATAAATATGACGCTTCAAAATTGCAACTGGGATATTCAGGCAAGGGGGTACAACTTTGGTTAGCAACTTCAGTAACTGAACAGTCAACCATGCCTGAGCCAAAGCCACCTGAAGACGGAGACTTGTGTTGCCTCCGAAACGTCGTGATTTAATCGAGTTATTTTTATTTATTATTCTTTTATTTTTATTTTTATTCCTACGTGACTTTACCGGAAAAAAACCCTAAGAGTACCAAAGCCACATTGCAATCCACTACGAGCCCTCTAGAATCAGCTATTATTTCATTAGAATGAACTCAGGCTAACGGCACACACACACGCGCGCGCACTTGGTCAAGCAAGTGTGACGAGTGCGCATGCGTGTGTTTTGCTCTACCAAAACAGCCAACTCGTAAAAATTTACACAAAAAATCCCAACACTCTCCCCAACACAGTTTTGCGCCGCGCCCAACTACAATGACCGATAGATGCACTGTGGTAGTGGTGTTGTTGTTGTGGGGCTTCATTTCCACCCCCCCCCCAACCCTCTTGTTCAACTGCGATCGAGGCTTTCACAGCGAGCGAAGCACAAAGTAACCGCAATTCAATATTGGCAGACAGGGCCTGTGATGTAAGGTAATATGTAAATTATCGCGGTGGCTTTTATTATATGGGCCGCCTCGTTCCACTGCCTTGGGCAGTTTTGGTGCAATGACGCAGAAGTGGCCTTTATCGGGGCCAGTGATCTGACCCGCGCTGTGTGTTCATTCCTTCGCTCGTAACGGCAGCTCCAAGTATAGTATTGTTTCTTTGTGCGGCAAAAGCCTAATAATTTATATAGTTAATTCTTTGTTTACCCGGGACAGTTTCAGCGAGCCTCAACAGCCTGTTTTTGGAGGGTCCTGCGTTGGAATGTTTGGGAAATGTTTCATTGGGAAGAAAAAAAATTCATAATTTAAAGAAGGGGGAAACCGGAGTACCCGGGAGAAAACTCGCACATGACGGGGAACTGAGAAAAATGCCCCAAACCCTACAAACCTATGATAATTGTTTTTTTACCCTTCTATCTGGCAACAAAACTGACACCATTTTTTTACAAGGAGTCATGTTTACATAGACCACAATACCTGCAGTCATAATGCAAACAAAAAACATAACTCTGATAATGTGCACTGTCCTTAAAGTTGATTGGTCCACACCCGAGACCGCTTTCCTTAGAGCCTAGTCTCACATGGGTTGGACCAGATAACGCCAAAAGGCACACATCTCAAAGACAATGCACCATCAGAGTATGAGAGCTCGGGGTAAGCATTTACACCATTGTAGCTTCATTTGCCAGTAAAAATATGATAATTGTTTTTTTTACCCTTCTATCTGGCAACAAAACTGACACCTTTTTTTTTACAAGGAGTCATGTTTACATAGACCACAATACCTGCAGTCATAATACAAACCTACTTGCCGTGCTGCTGGTTTACCGAAGGCGATTCGCTGCATGCAAGGCTGGTGTCGTGAACGTGGTGGGGGGCTCCATCTCTGTGCGATCTGCCAACCCGACTCGCGTGTGCTACCACAACACTCGGTGAAGATGCTGTTGGCTTCCTTTCCAAGCTTTTTATTTGCTTCTTGTACCCTGGGCACAGATTGACGGCTTTAGAGGAGAGGGTTCGTCGCGATTACGAGTCAAGATTGAATGTTTTTGCATCGTTTTCACCATTGTATTGTTTAACTTTTTTTCCCCATCTCATCACGACAATTTGTTTCACTATCGGCCTAAATATAACCTTAGCTACTCTTTGTTTACCGACGATAATTCTGTATTGTACAAGACACGGGTTCTGTATCCTACGAGATGAGTATTCTTATTGGATGAGATGAGAGTTCTGTATCGAATGAGCGACAACGATTGCAGTCGCCTTAGCCATGTGGCATGGGCTGGTATTAGTGGTGTATTGATGTCTGGATTAATTTCACCTTGATGCTTAACCTCCTGTTACATTGTATGAGGGATCAGACCACCGTCCCATCATGTATGTTGTCTGAATTGGCTTCATCAGACTCCTGCAGCAGGGAAAGGGCACTACATTCACCGCAATCTAATTTAATTAATCGACGTTTCATTCAGTTATGACCCTGAATTTGCAATAATTCGAGTCGCTGGGTTGGTTAACCATTCCACACCTAGCAAGACACAATTTCAACACACGTTGGATTTTTAATGACGGAATCGAACTTGGCGCGTATCGAAGGAGACTTTAAAACAAACTGTTTAACGATTCGGGGTATGGCCGAGCGGTAGTGCGTTCACCCCTCGTTGCAGAGGTTCACGGTTCGACACGGAGGCTGCCCTGGTTAATACTGCGAGCATATTATCCACAGGCACGTGCCGTCTGCCTTAGAGCGGACATTAAGGATCTCGATGTTATTTGAAGGAGAGTATGCCATGTGTGCTGGTGTCCTGGTTCAAGTTTTCAAATTTGAAAAAAGTCTTGCAAATTTCCAGATTAAGCAAAGCCACGTGGCAACATTACATAATACTAAACACTTATTAAAGGGTATTTCACCCGGAGGTCACAAGGTGCTGTATAGACAAATAACAATGTGGAGGCCTGCTAGCCACGACGAGAGGATGACTTCAGGAGAAAGTTGGTGTCGTTTTGCTATTTCACCTTTGCTTAAGGAGCGCAGGCTCCGGGTGTTTGCTACTTTTGTAGTCCGTTAGCCTTCTCGCGGTGGCCCATCTGTCACGCGTCTTCATGTTTTCTCACCGCAACCAACACCGTACAATATCCAGGCGGAAATGGACATCATTACTTTGAATGCAGGTGCGGTCACGCCCATGAAAAGATGTTCGTGAGTACGGTTGGCTACGTACGGTGCGAAAGAAGTGAAACGTAAATTTCACGTGGAAGTGCCATTATTCTAGAACCAATGCCATTCCATTGCTCATTTAAAAGAGGAAACGGGGAGGGGTTTTGGGCTTTCAAATTCTGTTTTCTTAAGTAATTTTATATGACGAGACTAAGTTTTACATTTGGGTACTCTTATGCTTAGGTTTTTTCGGTAAAGTCACGTAGGTAAAAAATTAAAATTATAATTAATAAAAGTAACATTAAAATTAAAATCACGACGTTTCGGGGGCAACACAAGCTTCCGTCTTCAGGTGGTTTTATTTTACTTTTATTAATTTTAATTTTAATTTTTTACCTACGTGACTTTACTGGAAAAAAACCTAAGAAGATGAATCCTTGCAGTCACGAAAGCTTCAAATCTAGAATTTGGGTACTCTCCCAGAGCAGAGCATCGCCCTCTGCATTAGGAGGGAATGACTGGCAGAAGGCGATATTACGGACTTGTTTTGGGAGAATCCTTGAAGTGACCTCCTTTAGCCACACTTTCAGGTACTCCACTTTTCACCCGTGTGCTTGAATTGGAGAAACATTCATTGCACGGTTAGGGACCCATTTTTTATTCTCAGGAGCTGGAAATTTCACCAGTATAAACTAAAAACCTACGTTTTCGTTTTAATGCGTTTTTGGGGGCGAGGTTGAGTCACTGGCGACTTGGCATAGACCAGCAGCTGGCTACATTCGAGAACCTCGTTTAAATCACAGGAAAAGACGACATGTTCTCCATGCAAAGTCACACCGAGCTGGTCACACCGTCTTACGAAGCGATGCATTTTACGCAAATTAAAACTGGTTTCAAGTTGTTGACTCCATATCCTCGGCTGCCAAAATCTGTCAAACTCAGAACATGTGGGACAAATGCTCAGTGCAACGGAGCGCTCTGGCTCATCTCTTCTTTGTCCGCATTCAAACTTCAGTCAGTGTGCTCGTGGGCACGTGCATGGGGCGGGGGGGAGAG